TCAAATTTGGAGCACTTTGATTTAAAGTGGACGATTTGGGTCTATGTTATTGTTAGAAAGGATAGCATAATGCATTTCGGACACTGTTTGATAGGTAAAATAGGTATAGACAGATGTTTTATAGCTCACAATCTCATATTTCCTGTCTCCGCATATTGCCAAGCCATTGCGTCCAATAATTTTTTGATCTAACTCGTCAATTTGCTAGCGATTCATATATTTCAACTCCAAATATCTTATTAGGTTTTCACTCCTCCTCCATCGTTGTTCTCATTTTATCTATGCATGTCTAGAAGGCACGTGAGAAGTAGGGACAGAAGGTGGATGAGAGAGGAAGTTTGTAATTATCTTTTATGTTAATTGATAATAATAGAATTATGATATTTTAAATTTCAAGTTTTGATTTTATAATATCAACATGAATACAACCACGTACTTGATCAAACCAAAAGAAAGGGATTGAGGCAATAGGACGGTTCCTCGAAAATTGTATTTAAAATCTCATTGTCGCCTAGAATACCCCACCACTCGACCCAAGTTGCTCATCTTCATGCAATGGAGGAAAAAAGACGGGTTCCAAAGTGCTAAAAGTTAAAAAGTTGAGAACCAATCAATCATGAAAGAAGGGATTAAGAAGCTGTTTACACAAATTTAATAAGTGGGGTACCTCTGCTGCAATATTCTCTTATTTTTAAATGATTTGTAATCATAAGTTGCTTGATCATTATCTCTGCCAATCATATAATGGCAAATTCCACTCTGGCAGGATTAGAAGGCTAAACAATAAAAAATTTAAAATTCGATTTTATTAATAAAATTAGTTATTATGTATTTATTATTTTTATTTCAGTTCTAATTGTGACAGGCTGCATAACAGCAAATACTTGTGTGCACTGCTCTTTGGAGATAATTACTGAATTCTGAAAGCAATTTCCCAAATTTTAGTCGAGACAAAATTAGAACATAAGGTCACAAAATAGAGCAATTTCATTTTTTAAGAGTCAATTCTAGTTAAATTCGTCGTACGACCAGGTATTCATTTCAATATAGAATATCTTCTACTTATATGATCTTGCAACTAAGATAAGATACCTTTGAATGCCTCGATTTTTCAAAGTGATCTCTCTCTCTCTCTCTTTTTAATTATATAAATTCACTTTAAAGTTTTATTCAAACCGTTACCATTTAAAAGAAAATAAAAATCTCTTTCATATTTTGAATTTGTTTTTTTCATCATAGAAGATTGGCTTTGATTTGTTTGTTAACCCAAAAGAATCTGTCATGATTTTCAGTGGGATTTATAGGAATCTGAATCCCACATCGAAAGCATGAACTTTCTTTGTGTGGTTTATATAAGATTGGGTTCTCCAATCATATTAGCTAACTTTTGTGGTCCAGCTATTCCAAATTCTATGACTGAATCCCAAAAATGCAATGGTTTTGCATTTTGATGAGACACTCGCAGCTAATTCTATTCTCATCACATTTTAATTGTAATTAAGACCATCAACGTTTGTTAGTTGTAGTATTTATGTTCTCAACCTTTTTTGTCGAATTTTTACCATCAATCTTTCAATTAATTAACATTTATAGTCTCTAATAATAGATCCGTCCATAAGGTACATCTGAAGGGAGAGAAAAAAAAAAAACTTCTTTTCCCATCACATTTAAAAAAAAATAAAAAAATCCTCACTTCAAAACACGAAGATAGAATATTTTGATGGAAATCATCAATAAGGACAATGTGTGCTAATTTATGAAATGTTAAAGAAAAGATTCGATGAGAAAATTAGGAACTTATGTGCCATAATAAGTTAATTTTTAAAATTTTAAATGCAATTAAAATATAATATTATTAATAAAAACTACTGTGTGAAGGTAAATTACCGACAGCTTTGTTACCTTTGTAGCATGGAAACAAATCATGAGAGATGGAAAAAATGGCACTCAAATGGGACACAAGTCCTTGCCATGTGTCAGATCGGAGAGAATTGATTTCACCTCTTGGCTCGCCCCCACCGGTCCACCCTATAATTTCAAAGTCGGCAACATTTTCTACTCTAGTAAATTGTTGACATTCCACAACCCCTACAAGGCACCCCCGCCCCCCCACCCCAACCATCTTTTTATAAAAACTAAAAATTAAATAAAAAAATCCCCAACTTAGAATCGAGATTTTTGCATCTGATTGAACATTTTTCATTGGATTTTTTAGTTTCTTTTGAATTTATTTATGTTAATCACGGACGATAAAATAACAAGAACTGCAATAACTCGAACACAGCATCAAACGAGACAAAGTAATATGAAGATCGACTTTGCACTACATGAAGAAGCTGCATTCAGTCACCTGAAGCTGAAAACCAATTGTTCTGTACAAAAAGGTCTTCCCAGGGAGCTAAGACACTGCTCCATTTTCAAATTAGGGATCTTCTTGGATAGAGCAACTTGAAACTTGAATTTAATCACGATTTTCAGCATGTTTTCACTCACAAAAAGGTCCCTAAAAATCATCTATAAAAGGGCGATTAAATAGAACATAAAAAAAAAAAAAGATTTGAATCAAATTATTAAAAAGGCCAAAGGAAGAAAAAACTTAAGAGAACTAATCTTCCCTCTCTAAATATCTGCCTCGGATAAAAGCAAAAATTAGGATTGGCGCTCTAAAAAATCTTAGTATTCTCCAATTCAAGTGCCATTTTCGGCTGAAAATCCACTAGAAACTTCTTATTTCTTCTTTCAAATAAAAAGCTCACCCAAAATACACCTAAAACCCCAAAAGGGGGCAAAACCCTGCCAAAATTTCGACAAGAAAACTAAACTACTAGCATTGAAAAACAATAATCAAGATATAGTGTTGTAACAAGCTTTCTTCAAGTTTAAATGATGTAGACGTTGCAACAACAATCAAGGATGGGAGGTAGATATAGAGTGATGCACTTCCTTCATGGTTAAGATAAAATAAAACATGTCAACAGAAATTGAAGACCTAACTACCTTCAAACATGAATATAATAATTAAGGTTCCTATTTACACACCTTAAACACAATGGCACGACAAGTCAGTTCCTCGTAAATACAGGATTGTTCAACAAATTTGTGTCCAAACCGGACCACTTACGCCACCCTACTAGAATGTTTTGAATAGACTTATAGACTCGGTACAATCCCATGTACGTGCTACGTAAGACAAGATACAACAGCTAACATTCTAATAACATTTGGACTTGTGGAGACATAACCAGGGAATTAACTCTAGTTTTTGGTGCTTCATCTTTGTGAGAACAACAATTCACCTTCAAATATTAAAAAAGTGAGACTTCGACAAAAAATACATCAGTCAGGACTGGAGAGCCCACGCCAAATATTCAGGCAGCTTTTAAGGAGCTGATTATGTTATGTGGATTACACACGAAGAAAGGCTATTATTCTGGACCCTAAATGTGGGCTTTTGATCCTACTAGTCTGGTAAAAAGGAAAACGAAAAACAAGAATATCTAATATTTCAGCAGAACAAATTCTTTGAAAGTATTCCAAATCATATGTACTTTTTTTCAGTAAATTTCCATTTCAGCTACCTTGCAGTCCACTTCACTACAGGGGACATATTATCCCAAGCTTTCTGATGGTTTTATCTGCCAAAGTTTATGGTATTGCTCGATTTAGTAAAAAGAAATACTAATTATGAGCCCAAGCGAAGACCACCCCGTCAAGTCGGTTAAAAGAAGAAAATTAATAGTCAGATGGGTTCAAGTTACTGCTTTGAATCCCATCAAATCGTATAACATAATTAGGTTAAGTGAAGTGAGGTCAAATTTAACAAATAATACATTGCCTAAGTTTCGGAAACATTATTAGAAAACTAAAATTTATTTATATTATTCAGTCAAAGTTAAACTTTAATTTCAATCAAATGTTCAAAATTATTACTCATTATTATCCACGGTTCCCACCACTATTCCTCCTAAAATGTTACTAATAATCTTTCCTCAGAAGATAAATTACCTCAGAAAATTCTCTTGTACTACAACAACCCCACTAGCACTCCCCTCCCCAAGAAAAAGTTAAAAAGAAAAAAGCAGGAGTACAAAAGAGATTAATATATTGTCGAATGAAACATACCTTGCGCTTCCATCTGAACTCATGTGAGCATCTCTCGAAGAATGTGACTTTCCAACCATAAAAAATACACAAAGGGCATCCTCCTTTTGCCAATCCCCTTACCTGTAATTTGTTAGCACTTTTTTTACGCAGTATTGAGCAGGATTATATAAAACAGTTAACAAAATTTTAACTTCTTTTTCCTTTATTAATGTTTATAATGTCCGGTCTAACTTACTAAACGTGTCATAAGTTGTCCCGTGCAGTTTTATATCGATACCAACAACATTGCTTTTAAGATTTAAGATAGAAAGCCACTTTAAAGGACACATCAGATAAGTGCATAAGCGGTTCACATGCTATTTGATGTTGAAATACTACTTGACAATATACTGTCCACCTTTGGCTAAATACTTGTAATGAATTTATATTATATATCTTGTCTAGCTTTGATAAATTGTCTTAATATTCATGAAGAAAAATACACCTAAAAAACAGACCTTTTCCTTCTTTCTGTGGGCTTTGTTTATTGCAGCTGGTTTAATTTGCCTTTGTGGGGGTAATCACATAGAAGTCTACAGCCTCTGGTAAAGAGAATCTCCAGTTTACAAAACAAAGTATACTCTCTCAGATACTTGCATTTTATCTTCAATTATTCAGGGGAAATTCAAGTAAGATTTTCTTTTACTGCCTTAGACATTTCTTGTCCTAAGCCTTTTTCCGAATCGGGCTGGGCTCCTAATTTGGCCTCCAAAATAGAAAGACTCATTCTTGAGGAGAGCTTAGCGCGGGACTCATCCTTTTTGAGAAACTGGACATTATTGGTGGGAAGAGGGAAGAAACTTTTAAGATATGGTTTTGCCATCAGAAGCTATGTAGAATATACATAAATGTAAAGGATGAATTATTTGAGTAGTGTAGGGCTTGGTCTGAGTCTTGTTTTTGGGTGTCTTTTGCTGGCTTTGCTTTTTGAGATTTACTACTTGTTATGGTGGAAAAATAGGATTATCAAGAGAAGTAATGAAGATGGTCATTACAATAGCCCAGCAAAAGAATTTTTCTACAAATTATGTTGCAAAAAGTCATCTTCTTCAAGCACAACTGGTGCTCAAGAAATAAGTTTCTCAGAGACATTTTATCAAACACCGCAAGCACAACAAATTCATGACAGTTCAAACAACAACAAGGACTTGCAGTTCAATCCCTTTGGATCAGAAGATATCATGCCAAGGTTTCTCTTCACTATAGAAGAAGAAACAAGAGAAGATTTGGAATCTGAAAATGGAAGATCCAGTTTTGACATCATTAGGAAAAAAACAAGAAGTAAAAGTTTGAGTGATTTACTTCACAATATTGCTGAAACTCCATTCTTGACTCCTGTTGCTTCACCCCCATATTTTACTCCTCCTTTAAGCCCATCATCATCATCACCATTACCATCAGATTATATTCAAAAGGGCTGTTTTAATCCACTACATGAATCAGAAGGTGATGCAGTATTCAATATATTGAGGTCTTCCCCACCTCCAAAATTGAAGTTCTTGAGTGATGCAGAAGATAAACTTTATAGGAGAAAATTCATGGAAGAAGAAGTGGGACTTAGTCAAAATCACAGTTTCGTAGAAGAGTATCATCCTTCAAGCGCTTCGTCGGAGGATTCTTGTCCTCCATACTATAACAGCAATCCCAATATCATGATGAATGAATTAACCAATTGATGTTAGTGCAGATTTTGGTTTCACTTTAAACGTATGACTTTCACTTTTTTTTTTTTTAGCTTTATATTAGTTTTTCTTTTTCGGTGTATATATTATTTTCATTTACTTCTTCCCCACAGGGATGTTTATGAAGTATTGGTTGGGATTGTATAACGAAACTAATTGGATTGAGTAGATCTTGTCATTTCTTCCAAAATCCAACCAATTAATTGGAAAATTATCTTATTTTGTATAGGTTTGCCTCTCCACAATTGTTCAATTCTGTCAAATTTTGTGCATTAAATATACGGTAAATCAGAGTAGACATGCATGTTAGATAGACCAGCTCGAGTCTTCCAATATCTAGAATCACTAATTATACTTTGGATATTTCAATTCGAGTTCGATGATATCCATGATATTTTTAAAAAAACCCTGGCTTACAATACAAGTTATTCCCATAGTAAGAATGGAAAAAAATATATATATCAGCAAGCACTTTCTTAATCCATTGTATATTTGTCATCGAATAACAAAATACCATTCAATATCTAAGTATAATATGCTCCCAAATAGTATCCAATAGCTCGAAAAGCATAAATACCAAATTACATACCTAAAGAACAACCCAAATCAAGAAACCAACAATAAGAAAGTACTAGATTCTACAAATACTAAAAAAACATAAATTCATTACCAATGTCAATTTTCTTTCCATTACATCAGTTCCTTTGTACCCACGGCATTGGTTCAAGAATTAAGAAACGTTCTCGAGTCAATTTGTTCACGAGTCTCGATTTTTGGATCTAATTTCTTTTTCATTTAAAATCGGACCAGAACATCCGATTTGATTCGAGAGTTCGATTCCATTTAAAATGTCCATCCTTAAATGACACGGAGTCGAGTACAAACTATCACAACTTAATATTTAAGTAGTTCGTACCGAGTCACTCCTACATCAAACCCAACTTGTTGGCACCACATGTGCTGGGCTTCCTTGCATAGTTATGTTTTCAAAAACACAAAACCATTGTCGATCAGTTCAGTAGATTGCGAACCTCTATGATCAAGTCTTACACGGCTTGATTATAGTCTGATTGATACATTTTGACACGTGTAACTCCACGGGCAACAAAATTGAAAAAAAGGAAAAGTTTATTATACGACTTAGGATCTGACTGAGATTGACGTGGAGGGATTACCTAAAGGTAGTTGAGGACAAGTGAAGATTTGTTTTATTCTCCTCGTTGTTCAATATTCCTGTCTTTATTCAGGTAAATGGTTACAGTTTGTATTACTAAAAAATAAATGTATATGAATTATTTTTTGTCTTTGATAAAAGGTTACAGTAAAAAAGTAACATTAACTAAATATTTTTATATATAAAACTTGTTTGTGAGGGATTTTAATCCCATTAAAATTGAAAATATAGTCGTTATTGGGTTCCACCCATCTAATAAAAGTCAACAGTAACGATTAGTTTTTCAATTTTAATCTGATTTTAATCCCTCCCAAACAAGCTAATACTAACCTAAACGCGTCAATTGCTAAATTTTAATAAATGTACTTCTTTTAAAAAAAAAATTTTACTCTCAAAAAATGAATTTTACAACTTTAAAACATGTCATGAATTTTATCTTTTTTTTTAATCATACATTTTATAAAAAAATTAATCACTATTCCAAACATGTTTTCTCTAAAAACAAAAATGGGGCTCAAACAGCGGCATAATCTTAAAACTGGAGTGGAACTCACTCAACTACCTAAAAATCCAACCAATTAATTGGAAAATTATCTTATTTTGTAAAGGTTTGCCTCTTCACGGTTGTTCAATTCTGTCAAATTTTGTACATTAAATATACGGTAAATCAGAGTAGACATGCACAATAGATAGATCAGCTCGAGTCTTCCAATATCTAGAATCACTAATTACACTTCGGTTATTTCAATTCGAGTTCGATTATATCCATGATATTTTTTAAAAATCGTGGCTTTTTCCCATAGTAAAAATGGAAAATAAAAAATATATCACCAAGCACTTTCTTAATCCATTGTATATTTTGTCACTGAATAACAAAATACCATTCAATATCTAGTATAATATGCTACCAAATAGTATCCAATATCTTGAAAAGCATAAATACCAATTTACATACCTAAAGAACAAACCAAATCGAGAAACCAACAATAAGAAAGTACTAGATTCCACAAATACTAAAAAACATAAATTCATTGCTCTTAAAATAGCATAATTGTCATCGCTGTCAATTTTCTTTCCATCACATCGGTTTCTTTGTACCCATGGTACTGGTTCAAGAATCAAGAAACGTTCTCGACTCAGTTTGTTCACGATTCTGGATTGTGGATCCTAATTTCTTTTTCATTTGGAATCGGACTAGAAAATCCGATCTGATTTGAGAGTTCGATTCCATTTAAAATGTCCCTCCTTAAATGACACGGAGTTGAGCACAAACTAGCACGACTTAATATTTAAGTAGCTCGTATCGAGTCACTCCTACATCAAACACAGTTGTTGGCACGACATGTGCTGGGGTTCCTTGCATAGTTATGTTTTCCAAAACACAAAACATTGTCCATCAGTTCAATAGATTGCGAACCTCTATGATCAAGTCTTACGCGGCTTGATTATAGTCTGATTGATACATTTTGACACGTGTAACTCCACGGGCAACAAAATTGAAAAAAAAGGAGAAGTTTATTATACGACTTAGGATCTGACTGAGATTGACGTTGAGGGATTACCTAAAGGTAGTTGAGGACAAGTGAAGATTTGTTTTATTCTCCTCGTTGTTCAATATTCCTGTCTTTATTCAGGTAAATGGTTACAGTTTGTATTACTAAAAAATAAATGTATACGAATTATTTTTTGTCTTTGATAAAAGGTTACAGTAAAAAAGTAACATTAACTAAATATTTTTATATATAGAACTTGTTTGAGAGGGATTTTAATTCAATTAAAATTGAAAATATAGTCGTTATTAGGTTCCATCCATCTAATGAAAGTCAACAGTAACGACTAGTTTTTCAATTTTAATCTGATTTTAATCCCTCCCAAACAAGCTAATACTAAACTAAACGCGTCAATTGCTAAATTTTAATAAATGTACTTCTTTTTAAAAAAAATTTTACTCTCAAAAAATGAATTTTACAACTTTAAAACATGTCATGAATTTTATCTTATTTTTTAATCATAAATTTTATAAAAAAATAATCACTATTCCAAACGTATTTTCTCTAAAAAAAATGGGGCTCAAACAGCGGCATAATCTTAAAATTGGAGTGGAACTCACTCAACTACCTCATACTGAATATAATTCTATATAGAGTAAATATATCAAATTAATTAAAGAAGGAAACATCAACAAACAAATAAAGGCTCAATTTACCATTCCCATCAGAAGTTGATCTTTTAAAATGAAATATCAATATTTAGTCAAGGTATCGAAGTCTAACGAGTTAAATATAACAAATCGATCTGTCTAAAGCTCAAACAAATAATTAAGTCCATGTTTGGTACACATTAAAATTTTCATTTTCATTCTTCTACTCATTTTCAACCACACATTTTTCAATAAAATAATATTTTTCATCACATCAATAACCTTTCCTTCTTACTACTCATTTTCAACCACACATTCTTTAATAAAATAATATTTTCCATCACATCAATAACTTTTCTTTCCTTTTCAATCATACATTCTCTATCAATCTATTATTCCAAAATACATTCTTCCAAAATAATATGGATCAAATACACCCTAAATTTCAAGATTTGTATTGGACGAGGTATATAAAAAAGTTTGAGCTATATTCCTTAATAAACCTTTCAAGATATAACTTCTAACGAAATCACTAGATTTTTACAAGAATATATATATATATACACACACTACAATGGTAAAAATGGATTTACATTGTGTGCGTAGGGCAGGCTGACGTTTTGGCCTTTTTCATAAACCCGTGACATTGTCTCGTGCGTAAACCGAAAGGTGCTCCAATTGAATAATTTTTATTTTTTTTTTGTAGATATCATTCAGGTCGATGGGTTCGAATTGTTCGTACAAATTTATGGGTTTGGATCCTTTCAAAATCTACAAGTGCACAGTATCGTGGATGAATAATATAATGATGAATAGAGTGTCGAACCAACGAAAATTATATGCTTGACCGAGTTAAAATTAATTGTAACTTTAATCGAATAAATTACAGCCCAATTTATCGTCTTGTGGTCCGAATCAACTATTAAATATTTACAATTTGGTTCTCAAATTTTGGATTTTGCCATTTTTCCTTTATTTCTTCAAATTCCTCGTTCAACCATTAAGTTTTATCTATAATATAAAATACAACATTGTAGGATATATTTTGTCAAAATAACTACCAGATATCGCTATATATTTTAGACTCCGAATAAGTATATAAAATACACTTATCATGTTCTAATACCATATTAAGACTTGATAATCCATCTTAAAATGTCAACTTCATTAATAGTTCAAGTCCTTATATATTGGTTATAATTTTAATATTTATTTAATATGAGATTTATTCATTAGCAGTTATAGATAAAATCGTCAAACTGAAAAATAAATATAAGTTGGATGGTCAAGTTAAAACAAATTGAAGTTAGATGAACGTGAAAAATATTTTTAAGTTGGGTGACCTCCACAGGCGGATCCAGGAATTTAGTTAAGGGGTTGAAACAGTGATGAACCAACATGTTATCGATACTGACATGTCGAAGATGCCATGTGACGTATTTTACTTTTTCCTACAGCTTAATATGTTATCGTCGATCAATAATTCAACACTACAATAACAATTCAGAAAAACCAACGAAAGGTAGCATGGCAACATCATTAAAAGATAAGATGACAAGATAAAATTTAGGTAATAAGCCAACAATATAACAATAACCCAACAATTCTATTACAGTATAAACTATTATCAATACATCGAAAAAAATAGTGATAACAAGCATAGTACTTGCTAAATGTTTC